GAGAGAGAGAGAGAGAGAGCACTTCCCCTCTACCCCTCATCAGATCGGGAGCAGCCCCCTCCCCTGGATACAGCCCAAGACTTCCCCCCAGCTCGGCAGCATAGCTTTAGACAACCAAGCAGAACAGTCAGTACCGGGGAGTGGGGACACAAGCCCACTTCCTCCCCCAACAAAAATCCTGGCCAGACCCAGAAAGTCCCTCCCCAGGTGGCCCCCTCACTCACCGATCTGGATGTTGTTGGGGAAATTGGCCCCTACTACCGCGCCTAGGAAACCGGTGCAGAAGAAGGCAAAAATGTGCTGCATATTCCTTTTTGCATTGGCGAAAAAGAAGCCCAGGTCCAATCATAGATTTGGTGTTTCCCCCCCTTCCCTTTATTCCTCTCGCTGCTCTGCCTGTTCTTTTCCTCCTGCCGTTCCTTCCTTCCTCGCTTGCTTCCTTCCTTCCCTCTGTGAGGTTTGTCTGTTTCCCTTGGAATCCGAGCACTTAAACTGCAGCGTTAACACCAACTGACAGCCAGATTAACTGAGCACGGGAAGAGAAGCCCGTCCTCATGCGAGCTGGAGCGCTGGCTCCCCCTCTCCTCTCCTCCTCGCGCAGCCTGCCTCTCGCTCCCTCCCTTGCACTCTCGCTCTCCCCCTCACGCTCACACAGGCAGCGAGCTCTGCTAATACCCACGGAGCGGCTCGGAGTTCCACCGCCGGCCTCCCCTACCTACCCCGCCCGCCTCCCGTCCTCACCTTAGCCTCCTTTCTGAGGGTGCGGAGGGGTGTGAGTGGGTGGGGGAAGACACGCTGGGGTCTCAAAAGGGGCCACCCGGCAGCCCCCGCCGCCTCCCCCGCCTGCCCGAGCTCTCCCTGCCCCCTCCCCCACCCTGGCCTAAGAAGCAGCTGGGAATGTGGGATCAGCTGGAAGTCAGTAGGTGGCAGGGGGTCCCCAGGATAGTCCTCAATCCATCAGCTAGATGCTTGATCTAGGTCACTTTTTCTAGGAGCGCACGGGGCTGCGCTGGATATATTTCCTGCACTTCACTGGCCCAATTATTCTTACAACTAATTCCTGAGGGGAAGACCCTAGAAATCCCTCCTAGGAAATTTAAAGGAAAAAAGCTTCCTCCCTCCGAACGGAAGGAACAATAGATAAAGACAGACAATGGAGGATCTGGGATGATTGGCAGGTGTCCTGACCACCTGGTATTTGGCAGTCCCTGTCCATCTTTACAAGTGGAATTGGTGGTCCCATTTACATCCTGGGCATTTAAAATGCCCTGCCCATTCCCTGCATTCCACAGGAGTCTATAGCATCAGAAATCCTGTGGGTGTACAATAAAGACTAAGGATCCTTACACAGAGCAATTACATGAGTCATTTTGCAGGGTTTCTAGTGAGAGGATTCAGGCTTCTTTCAGTTATCTCTGGATGCTGGTCATGTCCAGCGTAAGCTGGAGCTCCACAGGCTCTCCTGAATCTGGGCTTCTGCTGAAATAACCTGTAGCGAGAACAACTGTGTTCAGGGAAACGGTGTGGGTTACAAAGCAGCACTCTCTCACAGCCCCGGAGCCCTTTACTCTATAAGGCAACTTTACAGTGTTATCTGTGTCTGTCCTCACCCCAACCCTGTAAGGTGGAAATCAGTCAAGGCGCCTGGGATTAAATCATAAAGAGCAGACCTGCTGAGATGTATAGTCTAACCCACAAACTTGAGTGCCCTGACCTTTACCAGTTGACTACTGCCCTGGCCGAAACTCCTACCTACCAAAGAATAATCCAGGAAAAGTCAAGTCTATCTTGGAAAGAGAAAAGAATACACTTTGAACCTGAGTTTCCTTTGCCACTTGAACAGGCCGTTTTATGCAGAACCTCTTCATTTCCCTCACCAGAACTGCGTATCACACACACACACACATTTGTACAGCAGTTGCAAGGGCTAGAATTTGCAAAAAAAAGTCTGATCATGTTCAAGGGAACCAGCCCCTAAACTAGAAACAACTTGGAAGTCAGATGCCTTATGCTTTGTGATTCCCTAAGTACTTCCACATAAATTAATTTGCTCAAGTAATTTTTAAAACTAATGTTTATTCACCATTTTTCATGGGCCAGGTACCCTGCTAAGCACATGTGCCATTTATTTGTCCAGTAACCCCTATAGTAGGTAACCTCATATCCATTTTATAGATAAAGAAAATGAGAACTAAAAATGTACCTGTGTTTGCACTGCTAACAAGGAAGAGATTGGGATTGAAACACAGAAAAGTCTACCACAAGGCCCAGGCTCTTCACCCTCAAGCTCCCACAGCAGTAACAAGTGGGCAGAGATGTGCTGGAGGTAGTGTACATATCAACTTAAAAAGATGGGTGAACAGAATCAGAAAAGATCACTCCTAAGGTTTCTGCAACATTAAGAGTTTGTGCTTTAATAATTCTAGCATATAATACTTCCATTTGCATTTTTTTCTCTTACTATTTTGAATGGTACCTGGGGATCTTTTAAATTCTCTGAGCTTTGTGCCCGGTAATAATAATAATTAGGCTGTCACTAAAGGCTTCATACTTCTCCGTCAGCTTTCAGAGAAAGATTTCAAAGACCGGGGTAAGGATTAATTAGCAAAACCTCAATGCCCACCTGTGATAGTAAGAATTCTTTTGCATACTTTGGGGAGAGGGGACTTTTAAAGGAGTCGAAGAAATGCATATGTTATGATAATTATAAATCATATAGTCAAACAGATCTTCCTAAAACAGCTCTATGCTGCTGCACTGCTCAAGTACGGTCAACAGTGTCCCTTGGCCTATTAAATACATAGTTCTTCAATGTCACTTGGCCTATTGAATACATAGTTCTTTACTGATACAATAAATATAAAACTTCTATATTTCAAGCTTAGGCATCTAGGTCAAACTACCTAGATTCAACTGTTTATTCCATTTCTTTCAAAATTCTCTTCAACTGTTTGTGGGGGACCTATTCTGTATCCAGCAGGGTGCCAGGTGCTGGGTTCTGGAAAAGAATCAGACACAGTCTCCACCTCAAGGCAGGTGAATATGGCAGAAATGGAAGACTGATGAACCCAGACTGTTGTCACTCCAAGCAGGCTATGACAAGTGCACTAGGGGAGACATAAACACAACCGTGGGGGAAGCAGCCAGTGTGTCTGTCTGTGGGATCCAGCGAGGCTTCGAAAGAGCTGGGCTGTGAAGGAAGAGATTGCAGGCAGAACCAAAGAAAGAGCACCAGCAAGGGCCAGAGACAGGAGAGGACGTGTGGGCCCGGGGAGCCCGGAACCTGTGTGTGCAATTGGTGGGGGTGAGAGGCTGGGGGGTGGGGTGGGCATGGAACCTGGAGGAAGTCAGGGTCAGGATTTGGAACCCACAGAATTCCTGGCAGACAATCGCAAACCATGAGATATTTTTGTGTGACAATTACCATAGCAGGTATGTGCATAAGAAAAAAACTTGACAGCTGGTGGAAGGTGGTTTCCTCATTTCCTCACCCTCAAAGCTTAGAAGGACTTACCAAACAGCTTTGTGTCCCTGCATCACCTATCCTGGTGCACCACGTTGTCTCTCCTTCGAGTCCCCAGTCCTATTTGCTGTGCCCAAATCTGGCTTGGAAGACACGACTCTCTATAGGTCTGTTGCTTGATATGTGACACGCTGTAGTTTCACCATATCGTACAGGCCTCATCTCATCTTGTGCCCCCTACCACTTCGGAAGGACAGAAATTAGAGTTTATTATACAGGTTAAGTGAGGCTCAGAGTGGCTAGATGGTTAGCTTAGGACAATCATTCTCAATGAGCAGCTGTTTTCTCTCCCTGCAGGTATTTGGCAACCTCCAGAGGGATTTTTTGGTTTTCCTAACTGGGGAAGAGATACTGGAATCTCATGAATAGAAGCTAGGGGTGCTGCCAAATGTGATGCAATGCACAGGACAACTACCCCACGACAAAGAATTATCTGGTTCAAAATGCAAGTAGCACAGAGGCCAGACATCCTTCCTTAAGGGGACATAGCAACTGGCCCACCAGGAGCTCAGCACCTGTCCCATCATCCCTTACAGTATATTACATTGGAGAAAGATTAGATTTCTCTTCTTTCAATACCTTTAACATTTAAAGTGTGATAGTATAAGATAGGTGCTCCCTAGGGTCCAGAAGGATGAGCGTCTAGTAAAGGCAGTCAATGGGATTGGGGGTGTCTGGGGGCTGGGGGGGAGGTTCCAAATGTTTAAATTGTACTTCAGAGACCATATGGCACCTACTCCTCAGATTAATTATGACCTATCCCAGCGCATATCTTTGGCACACTTTCAGTCCTATTACCCTGTAGCCAAAATTATCTAAGATTTACTCATTTTGGCTTTGGTTTCACACTGCAAATCAAGGAGAACGGTGTTAAGCAGGGATTTCAACTCCAAATGCTTCCTTGAGCCAAGCAGGGGAATGAATGAAGTGAGCTGATCTGGGGAAAGAGCAGTGAGGACACAGAAAACGAGAAAGTCTGTCTCCTTTCAAAGGGGTACAGGCACTCCTGTGTGTGGTGACAGACTGTTGCCATCAGGAAAGGTAAGCCCACCATGACCAGATTCTCAGATCTTTTTTTCAAGAAAAAGCAGACGTATGATTTTTTTTTAATTTGGTGTACCGTCGTTGCCGAGTCAAGAAAATTGAGAAAGAGGGTAAGAATAGTGCTTGTCTCTGGGCTTGATCTGGCCCACAGGCCACAGAATGCTGGCAGAAATTAGGGGACAAGGCCAAACACCCATTTAGAATGAATGTGCGGGTCAATCCCATTACCTCTCTGAGCCTGTTTGCTCATCTGTAGAATGACAAGATTAGGTGAGGTAATGGTTGCAGACCATCCTGGCTCTGGAGCTTTGTGACTCCAACTGACAGCAGAGGGAAAAAAAGGACAGGGATCGGGTCTGGGGGCTGCTCTCCTGCACCTCCAACTACCTGAGGCAGCGGCCTTGGTAGGTCTCTTCCCTCCCTGGTCTGGGCTCATGTCTCCATCTGCAAAATGTGGGTGTCATACCAAGGTTTCTTTGGCTTGAACATTTTAGGCTTCTAGTGCAAAGCAATTCAAGGGGGAAAAAACCATCAAATTTATGATCTGAGAACAGATCGCTGACAGCTAACAAATTGGTGAAAATGCAATCAGAGAGAGGGTGCCTCTGTGGCTTTTGAAAGGCCCCATTTTTAAAGATGTTTAAAAAATAATAATGATAATACTTCTCATGTTTTCTAGCACAATTCATACAGAAAGCTCCTAAAATACTCCACAGACAGTGTGTATGGCGAGAATACA